TAGAGGGACAGCGTAAACATAGAGGAGAAAGCCTTATCAAGGGAAGGAAGAGGCTTTCAGAGAGAACTTAGGGGGAAAATACAATAAAAAGCTAATGTTTCTGCCTATAGCTGAGTAATACTAAAAAGTCATTTGCTAACCAAAAGAGTAGCCAGTGTATTTTAAAAGTCGTGTTATAAAATTAATTTGAAGAAAGAAAAAGAGGAACATTCACAATGAAAAAATAAGATCTTGCCTTGTCCCTGCCTTGAATGTGTGTCTTTGGAATGGCAATGTAGCGAGAGATGCAAACTAGGCAACCTTTTTGCTGTTGGGCCTGAACTTCAAACATGTTCCTAGCAAAGGCACTGAGGACATTGCAGTGAGCTCCGGTTGTCTTCAGGAGGGAGACGGAGCACAGAACACAAAGACATGGAAGAAACAGTCATCTAGAAGTGTGAGCAAAATGCCCCAAACCAGCCAGCACTAACTTAATCCACTTAAAGAAGTCAAGCAACTGTACGAAAGCGAGCCAAATTCCTAAGTGACAACATCTTTATGAAGATGAAGTCTTTAAAACAAAAACACAGGCTATTTTAGCTTTAGGTTTATAGAATAATTGTCCCCAAAAGTCTGATGTCCCTATTTACCTCTTCTCTGATTATTGGCTTATTACAATGGTGTGGTACATTTGTTACAATTAATTGACTACTTCTGACACATTATGATAATTAAAATTTATAGCTTTCTCTTTGTGTTATACAGTCCCATGGGGTTTGGCAAATGCATAATGCCATGCATCAAGCATTAATACACTATTATTCAACACAGTATCATGGACTTAACATTTTTCTTTGCCTGTTTGTTCTCTATTCCCAGCCCAGGCCTATCCTTCCTCACAAAGCCTTCGGTTTGAAGCATTGTTGGACATTCCAAGTATGCCTCTCCCTGCACCCCCTCCCAATTACTATCACTGTAAGTGAGGTACAATTGCATGGCGCCTGTGAGTGTGCACAAGGCAGCAGCTTCACTAGGCTCGTCCTAGGGGATGATATTCACAGCAGAGCAGTTTTTATTCCTGGGCAGTCATCAACCACCACCCACCACCCCCAGCTCAGGTTCGGCTCTCTTAGAGATCCTGAGAGATTCTCTTACTCAGAACGTAACAAAGAAAACATAAAAATTAATCAAAAGGATTGAACATGTATGAAATATACTGATATGTTTTATACCCACAGCACGCAAACTTGCACAGTAAGCCACAGAAACTATATAGATAAAATTAAAATGTTACAGAGTTACTAATTGCCAATGCTCATCCACTTGGTGTAATCTAATCTCAGGGAGAGCTTCTATAGTAAAATGGATTCGTGATCTACCTGGGAAAGGCAGCCATATAAGCCCCCAGGCTCAGTAGGACCCCGATATTCTGGAGACAGTGCAGAAGCAGGCCACCTCTCATTTCATCGAACATGTGGTTTTTATAAACTGGTGGCTGACATCTTTGCAGCTAACAACAAAAGGCCAAAATCGTGATTCCAATGCAAATCTTTTAGCTGTGTAGGCCCCGCTTTGAAAACTACTGCAGGTGGTGCTTTTTCAGTGCCACAGAATAAAATCCCTCTTTAGTGTGTATATTAAAAGATGATAATTTCATATACTTCCACTCAATGCAGAGTAGACATATTATACAATCTGGGGTGCAAGATGTGGGTTCCTGGTATAATTAATCATTGGATAATCTTGAAAGAATCACTCTCAACACTACATCATCTGTATTTTAGAGTAGATTTTCAAATTCTAATGGAATAGAGTTGTTCTGAAGCCATGGAAGGTAAATGAATCCCTGAATCTATTGCCCTAAAATAATCTATCTTTAAAACAAAAATATTTTCTGACTTCTAAAACGCATACAACCATTTCGTTTAACTAATAAAGAAGTCTATCTCGATCATTATGCTCTTTTAAGAACTACCTGCATGCAAGCAAATGGACAGAGCAATTTAAAATACTAAGCAGAAACGTCAGGGGACAGTCACTTGTTAATAGGGGGGTAACCATGATATGAAGAATGTAAGCCTCGCCACTAGATTTTACATGAACAAACGGTTAAATTCACATACGTTTCACTGTGTACATTCACAACAACAGCAAAAGAAATAAAATTTAAAGAAAAATACAGTAAGGAATGACTTCACCTGAGTAAAATGTGGTTTTATTTATCTTTGGGGTCAGAATCAAAGCTGCTATTTAAAAAGCCTTGAGCAAAGAAAGCCACTGGGGGGAGCACAAGAGTTCAAGGCAATGAAAAATGTGTGCCTTTGCATGTGTGCAATAGCAATCACCATGATCTATGAATAGATGCGTAGATAAGCATACTTGCAATCAGGTAGGGGAAGGCAAATGGGACCACATGGAAGCATTTATACGGGTTCGACAGAATATTTCTATCTAAGTCTTCACATGTGCATCAACGAAATCCACCAATATAGTAGAGCATGCAGGGGAGAAAACTATGGCAATGTAACAGTAACCAATCACCTTGAAGGAATGCATGGCTGGTCCTAAGGACTCAAGATCTTAGTCTTGTGAGACTTCATATTCCATTGTTCTAAAATAGTCCCCAAAGACAATGTTCTACAAACTCGTGATTAGCAACTGGGGCCCATATTTTTCTTTCTCCTTCTGGAGCAAAGAAGATGCACGGAAACAGTGAACTAATGATGCTGGGAAACTGAGCCTCCGCGATCCAGAGGCGAGAACTCGATGTTGTCTGGCCATCACTGTCAACTGCTCTGAAAGGTATCACAAGAGGATGTCCTGGGTAGACTTAGAGGAAAATGGGGAACAACAGCCAAAATTGTTTCAAAAACAAAAAGAGCAGGCCTACCGATCAGAGAAAGAATGATAGAATCCTGAAGACAATGGGCCTCAGTCACCCTTCAACTTGGAACAGCAGTTACACCCTGACTGCCACACCATCCAGCTAAATAGGTCTCTAAGATGTGCAGTAACACCAGAGAGGTGAGCACTCCTTAGAACAATCAACCTTTTGAGATTAAAAAGGGCAGGTGGCCTAGGGATAAAGCTGAGAAGGCAAGAAGGACCCATGGAAATGGTCAACAGTGGAAGGAAATGGAAATAGTGTAGTTAAATTGCGGGGAATTCATTCAAACCCACAAAACAAAATGTGTATGAATTATTGAATAAAACATAAAACGAAGTTGCTCTGTAAATTTCACCCAAATCACAATAAAAATGCATCCTCTCCTATAATAAGCTTTCTAGTATTATTTATTTTACCCAAACCAGTATTATTTCAAACCAAATTCAAATTAGAATTTCTTTATAATTAAGGCAGTAAAATTTAATTTAAAATTGTATTAATCTTTCTAAAACAGTAACAAAAAAACTTTTTAAACCAAAGGAAACTACTGTATCATGCCAGTAAAAGGTACACAAATATAAGTTGGATTCCTTTATACTATCAGAAAAAAACACCAAAAAGGAAATCAAGAAAACAGTAACATGTATAATAGCCACAGTCATGAAATAACTATAAATACACCGAGTCAGGATGTGGAAGTTCTATACAATGAAAACTATAAAACATGACTGTAAGAAAGTTAAAATAAAACCTACATAAATGAAAAATAATCTGTGCTTATACAATGGAAGACAGTATTGTAAAAATGTCAGTATTATCCAAACAATCTATATGTAATTTCAATGAAAATGTCAACAATATTCTAATTCACACAGAAAAACTAATCACCAACTTTATGTGGAAAGGAAAGCGCACCAAACAGCCAATGCCATACTGAAGACCTGAAGATAAACAGGGATCTCATGTCTCCCAAGTTACCCTGTAACCACGGCAATCAAAACT